GTGGGGGTGGGAGGATCCTTCAAAGTACATCGTATACCATTACGACGAGAAGCGCGAATCTACACGGAGGCTACAGTATCAAGTCATGTATTAATGTACACCACGCCTACACACACGTATATCGCAATACTCCAAAGATTAGATTCCGTCGTACTTAAATATCGGGGTTCTATATTCTACTTGTATTTCACCTTCCTACCTTCCTTGCAGCGTGACTTTGATTGATTGATTGATTGGCTGGTTGCTTGAAAATACATACTTCGAAATATCTTACTCCGCACAGTACCTACGAGCTACAGTACTTGACTACTTATGCAAGAACCCGGGATGATTTATATACATAATGAAGTTACAAGCACTATAGATTCACCACCCACAAAAACCCAAATAAAATTACCGGTCAAATAATCTCATATCCTAATCACATCCCATCCCATCCTTCCTTCCAAAACCCTACAATCCACTAGTACTCTTTACAATACCGCCTCCCTCCTCACAGAGTCTAAAAAGAAAATTTCCACAACCGTTCCCGTAGTAAGACAGGATACCATAGGATGAAGAATACAATACATACATAGAGGCACAGCAACATCAGCATTAGTAACCTCTTCCCTTTCCCACCATCCACCATTCCCCTCTTCACCCCTCCCCTCTTTCGTACTTGTTTCAAACCCTCATCCCATCCTTCGCACCACATCCTCCACACAACCCCATCCCCTCACAAAAAAGCACCTAGATAACAACAACACTAACAACAACAACAACAACAACAACAACACTAACGACAATCACCTAGTACCAGCATACCACGTTTGATCGCCTCACTCTATCCATATCCCCGGGAGATGCGTTTTCAAGGCACAGCACAGTTCCTTATCCGTATGGAATAGGAAGGGGAAGAGGAGTAAATGTTTCGTTTCGTTTCGTTTCAGAAAAACCCACGCCCATGCCCATGCTATGCGTATAATACCTTCCACGAGTCCACGAGTCCACGTGGGAAAAAAGGGGAGGATGGGGTGGGGTGGGGATACCTAATACAGTAATACAGTATTATAGATATAGTATGGTATGATATGGTATGGAAAAACCGGATGGGGCATGGATACCTATCATAATACCGCAATACAGTATTATAGATATTTCACTTTCCTTTCCACATACCCCCTTCAGAGCCCTAGAAGCCTCAAAAGAAAAGAAAAGGGTACACAAAAAAAAACCAGAAATGTTCAATTCCATCTAACGACATGTATACGGTGTAGTTAAAAGGAGTTGTTATATTATATTACGATATATTACGTTTTGTGTTAGAAGAACATGTACCTATGTACCTATGCACAGTAAGTATGTGTCTATAGGTACTCGAGGACTTGTACTATATATAGGACACGGTTCACACCTGCTACTGTACTCGTAATCCTACAGTACCGTAGCTAATAAAGTTTACCTACCTAGTTCAGGAACCGTATCAAGCATCAAGGAAATGTGACATTTCTCACAAGGATCCATCTATCTGGGTTAGCTTACTGTACCTAGACTCCAAAGAAGAAAAAAGCCAAAATATACTTTTCCCCATTTCATTACATAATTAGTAATTCGGGTACCCTTCTTCCGAGCATAGAGTAAGTTTACCTATGTCGAATTATGCCAGACTCCATATCATATAGTATCAAGGAAATTCGTACAGGTACTATATAGTACAAGTAAATAAGAAGCTTCCATACACCTACAGCACACACCCCCAAATATCCAAGAGTTCAATTCTTTCCAACTCAAAATAAACCCTCACAACAAAAACCCCCACCCCTAGAAACCCTAGATCCATACCTACCGATGGGTACGAAGGAGATAAAGAAAGTACACTAATTTGAGCCAAATGCACCCTTAAGCTTCCTTCAACGGTCGTTCCAGTACTGTACCAGTTAGTAGTTCATGCCCAGTGAAGAAAGAAATGCTTGATCTCAAAGCCTAACGACCTCCCTGTCAAAAACTATATTGACCACTCGAGCCCTCAGCCGTGGGATGCTCATACAGTAGAGTCATGGAGAACTCGGTTCCTAGGATGATCGATGGACCGACCGACTTTCTCGCTTCTTTCTTTTCAGAATTTCTAGATCGTATGCATACTTCGGTACTTCGTGACCCGATTTCAAGGCGTCTAAAGGTTCTTGTTTGTATTTACTGTAGCGACATAACCCGTTTTCAGGGCGTCGAAAAAGTCCTTCTTTCTTCTTGTGCGACCTGGCTTCGTAATCAATTAATAACGAGGTCAAAAGCAGTTCAAAGAAATCCAATTTGCTCCATCCTAAGCGAGATAGAAGTTGAAGATGCTTCGAAGTACGAGGGGTGTTTACGGTAGTAGAGTAAGATTACAGGGTAAAGCCCCCCCCCCACCGTCAACTTAACTTTTATTATACCCAAGATGAAGCATGTTCAAGACTTGAACTGGCAAAGGCTTGTTTGGTAGGTTTAAGCCTCAAACGACCCGGCAATGATGAACCTTTTGCCGGGTGTTCAATCAAGACTTTGGGGGCTCGGATCATCGCCCACGGGGTCCCAATAATGTCTCAAATATAGGGTACCGATCAATATGGCGACCAAGCTTTTTTCAAGGAAAGAAGCTCAATAATGAGGTCCCATCTGTCAAGAATCCAAGAACCGGAGAACGATCTGATCTCGAATAATGACAAGATCAGTTGAGCCACATCCCAACACACAATCCAAAAGAAACACCAACCAACACGTGGAGAAAAGAAACAAGAAAATAGACCCAACCAACCAACCAACCAACCAACAAACCCCACCATGACACCCACCATGACACCCACCATGACACCGCATCTCGGGACTTCTTGTCCCGCTGCCAAGATCTAATCAAGGAAGGATTAGCAACCATTTTCCTTTTCTGCAAGGCTCGTCGAAGCTAACGAATAAGGGTGCAGATAAATGTCCATAATTAGGCACGGAAGCTGCTCGGAAGGTAGGGGTAAAGACAGCAAAATGCAAGGGAAAATAGACAGCAAATAAATCCCAAAGAGGAAACCGGGCGTTCGTGGTTACATGCATGGCAGGTCATGGCATGCAACATGCGCTTATTACCCGTTTAATCGCGGGCAAGTAAAAAAATGATAGCCTGCAAAGCTCACCGAGAAAAGATGTCTTGCCCAGGTCTTTATTTCGTTGTGGATGTATTGGTGGTTGGGTGCCGGTCTTGGTGCTACGGGGAATCCAAGGGTGGGTACGTCGGGAGTTTTTGAACAATTTGGCGAAGCTTTTTTTCACGTTCTCATTTGCGCAAATTGGAATTTTGCGGAAAATTAATAAATCTGTAAGTTGCAAGTTTGACGAAGATTCCCGTTGTAAAAATCATGAAACGTCTTTGAATCACAAAGAAAAACGGGTGAGCTTCGAATGAATTAACCAACCCATTTAGGTTTTCTTCGTGAGCTCGGACGGTTGGTTTTCGAAAAAGGAAGGCATGTCTGTAAGCAGCCATGTGCTTGTGATGTTATGTCGAGGCACATGGCTGACAGGGAAGAGATGGAAAGGGCAAAGAGTTGGATTCACATCTTGGATAAGGCCAGACGCAGAAAAGAGACCCTCCGAGTCCCGATGCAGTTGGACTGTTGGAAGGCGTGCAACCACGACCACAATAATCAATCAAGCTAACCTTGGAAGCTCGATGGATTCAAGCGCATTTTGACATGGGTATCTGAAGAAGTATCGACGATGCAAAGACAGGGCATGGGGAAAGACATCACAAGCAATAATCTCGGACGAGGAAGCGTGGAAGCCTTCTCGAAAGGTGACTATTGCTCCGAATTTAATCTTTTCGACAACGTATGTGGTATCGTCCAATTGGAATGTCTCGGAAGAAGAGATGTTGTACTCAAGCAACTTGATCGGATTTTTTGATTGATCATTTGAGATGCAGTCGCAGTAGTAGCGCCTTGATCATCAGTTTGACCCTCCATATCGAGTTTTGACAGTATTGCTAAGTAATGACCTTTCTCGATTTGGAAGCGTTGAATATTACTGTGCTGCTTGCTGATAACATGTTGTGTTGATGACGTTAAGGGGGGTCAGATGAGTCTGCGTAACGCGGTTGCGTAGTGCCCAGGTATGAATAAGATCAGATGGGTGACTTTGAATGAGACTCGTGTATTTCAGGAGGCCGAAAGTCTGAGTTACGCCGGTTAGAATTGGGCTGACAGTTGCTTTGAAAGAAATTTCGGTAAGTAGAAAGGTTTTGTTGAAACATAAGTTGACACGAAGGACCCCTTTCCAACAGTTACAGAGGCACGGTCCAGTGTTTCCCAACTCAATTGAGGAGTTCGAGGTTCATTTCGCACAAAGTCATACTCGTAGGGCTGGGCTGGGCGTGCATTGGAAGATTGCGAGATTAGAGGGGTCCCGGTGCAGTACCGTTGTTGGGATTGCATCTGTGATTATTTCATCTGATGTACTTCACCGAAGTCCAAACAATGTTTTGTACATCAAACGTGTGTTGTCTCGTGGTGTTGTGACCAGGCCATTCCGTGAGGCTGATCTGGTTCTGTGGAAAAACGACCCCGGATTGTCTTTTCCCAAGGAGCACTTGGACCTCCCACTGGCACCACTGCACGCACGCACGACGACCGTTTTCGTCATCGGCGATTCAGCACGTTCGTTAGTGAAAAGTCCATCAGAATGCAACGGTATTGAGGGGTTCCAAAGCGGGTCCAAGGCTTCAGCAAAGAGCAGAATTGGTGTAATTTGGCCGATGTAAAGACCAGGATCTGGATGCGATGGTTGAGAGCGACTCGACCATGTTGCTCCTTCGGTGGGTACAACATGGACAACAACGCCTAGACGGTGGGTTGTAAGCATGAAAACGGAACATGGCATTGGAGGAAAATCCTCTTTGGTTGCACTTCATTAGGATCAAATTGGTATGACGGATCCTACGCGTACATAGTAGCAGTACAGGTACAAGTACTTATACAGTACATGCATAGAGCACATTAGTTCTTCAGAGGTATGCCCACACCAGCCACTAGAGAAGAAAATCCTTCTGCCGGGTGATAAGCACCACCAGAACCACCTCCATCGGGGTCACAGTGCACGGAGCCCGAGGCCTCGAGCAGAGGCATGAAGGTTGGGATACTTACTTTCGACTCGTAACTGTACACGAGTACTGTAGAGTAGGTCAGCGCTTCGGGCTCTCGCGCTTTCTCGTAGTCGGCATCAATATCGGCATCGCGGTTGAAGTCGCTTCCGTCGCTTGTGGAATGCAGTAGCAGTACTGTGCGGTACGAGTAGTCGCAGTCGAATACAGTAGTTTCGGTGTCGGTGTCCAATTCTAGTCAGAAATTAGCCAGTGGGGGTGTTGATGGATGCTAAGTTTGGACGAAACCATTGAGAAGGACAGTAGCTGGAAGTAGCGTAGCGTAGCGCACCCCTAGCTGGATACAGTAGTATACTGACTCTAGCGAGCGGCACGTTTTGTATGGAGCGTGTTGGTACTTAGAGTTGCGATGTTGCATCCACATTGACATGGGCATCTTCGACAGCCTCGACCAGGTCATGGATGACCATTCCGCGCCTTCTTCCTGCACCACCACCCACACCCACACCCACACCCACACCCACATCCACATCCACATCCACACCACCCCTACATCGACCTGCAGGACGCAATTTTAGCATCAACCCACCCCTTCCCTGCCCGAAGCTGGTCCCTCTCTGCAGATGAGAGGCTGGCTTGGCCTGGCTCTGTACTCGACTACCCTTGTAATCCTCGAGGGGTGTCAAAGCCAATTCCGATCAACAGGATCCCACACGTACTTGAAGAGAAGGCATTGCATCGTCGACCAGAAAGTATATAGACTTCACTATCCCCATCCCCAACCCAAATCCAAGTGTCATAATCTCGACATCCTCACTTTCGTCATCCATCCTCGCTTCCACTTCCTTCACCATCATCTTCCGTCGCCTTTTCTCGTCTCACCTTTACCCGCTTCTATTTCCATACCCCCAATTCGCTTTGCAAGTGAAATAGGCGCCTGTTCAACCTGCAATTTACTTTTCCAAATTATCTTTCACCAACTAAACCAAAACACCATCCTCTGCTTCTCTCTCCAGCTTTGACAGCTGCTACCAATAATCCTCGTCCTCAATTCCACACACATACAAAAAATCAAAATGCCTTCATTACGCAACATCATCCAGGGCCTCGCCCTCTCCTCGATGATGGTCATGGCCGCCGCCGCTCCATTCCCACCAATTGTAGAAAAAGTTGACGCCGATGATGCTTGTGGAAATGCTTCTGTGCCACCAACGACCAGTAAACCAGAGGGACCTAACGCTTCGGCAGTTCCCAAGATCCCAGCCAGTGGTGGTGAGTGATTAGATATCTACTTCTTTCACTACTCAACTAACATTTTCTCAGCCACCCCCGATCTCAACGTTACCACTCTCACTCTTGCATACGTCACCCTCGGTCACGGTGTCCAGAACTACTCTTGCGACGCAGTTGGAGCAACAGGAAAGGCAATTGGCGCAATTGCAAAGCTGTACGATGTTACGAATCTTGCATACACAGACATTGAAATGGTTCACAAACTCAGTGCAATGGTTGTCGAGGGTCAAGCAACTGAGGAAGGATCTGAAATTGCCATCAAGTCCGCCGCCGCCAAGCTCAACGCGCCAATCATTGGTAACCACTACTTTGATTCTGCTGGTGTTCCAGTCTTCAACTTGAGTGAGAAAGACAAGATCATCTTCGCTGCGAAGACGGAAAACGTCAAAGCACCAGCCACTGCCGACAAGGGTCCTTTGAAGACTGGTGCTGTTGACTGGCTTAGATTGGTCAAAAAGGAGAACTACGCTTTCGCCAGCAAGGGTATCCAGGAGGTTTACCGTCTTGAGACTGCCGGTGGTGTCTCGTCTGCTTGCAATGCAACTGGTGTCATCTCAGTCCCATACGCTGCCGAGTACTGGTTCTACAACTGAAAGTCTTTCAAGTATTCAGACATTCGCACCACCAAAAAAATCAAGCGAGTCGCGGAGAAAAAGAGCATGTCAAGTTCGACATGAAAACCAAAAGAAGGACCCGAAAAGAAAAGAGATCCGCGGACGAAAAAAGATTTACGAGAATCAAGAAGGACATCCTTCTTCCACACCATACCATTCCATGTTCAAAAAAGAACATGATCATGGTTTTTTTCCCAACCTTCATTTGCGCGCTTCGTGTGCTGCACCAACCTTATACCCCTTTGATACCTTTTGCAAAAGACCTGGATTTTGCACAAAACAACCCTTACATATATAGATGTACATACTTTTTTCTTCTCTTCTTTTGACCCCTGGATTTGGACTGGATTTATTGGGAAGGAATAGGAGGGAAAATGATGCCGGTGTTCATAGGAGTGGATGAATAATGAGAAGGAGGGCTGGCTGGTCGGTCTGGGATTATTTAATAATTTACCTTTACAATTTTAACTACCTTTTACCAATTTGAAAAACATCTCAAAATATTTACTCGTATATCGTGGATTTGATTGTGTGTCTCGGTGCTTGCTTTACTTTCTTACCTCTCCCTCTCCTCATATTACATGCTATAGACTATACAACTGGTAATTAATTTACAACCCGCCATCACTCGCTAAAAACGACCAACGTACTTCCCATCCCCTCACCCGTCGCCTCGCTTAATCCTCTAACTATACTCATACTTCCGTATATCACGGATCTAGCTAGTGCTATAACTCATCTATAGATATCACTCGGAGGGGGGGGAGGGGGGAGGAGGAGATCCGGGTCTATAAATATAATATACTGTATGGTAAAATGTAATCTTACTTGTTTATTTTGTTTATTTATACTTCTTCTGTGTCTATGGTATCTATCTATCTATTTATCTATCTATAACTCTTGATATTGATTTTTATATATATATGTATATATTCACAACAACCTTTTTTCGAGATCAAATTTTTTGTTCTAAATCACTTGCTCTCACTTGCTTGTACTAAACAAGCCGATTACCCTCCATGGAGACCCCTCTAAGGAGGCCTTCGGCCTTACTGTCGCCTCTGAAAAGAGGTCCGGATAGGGGAGGAGCCCGCCCAATTCCCCCCCTCCCGAATATACAACAACACTTCGTCCTAGCAACTGCCAAAGCCCTTGAACGTAGTTCTTTAGGCCAAACCTTCTTCGGAGGAACCGCAGAAGCTGTAGATTGCCACCTAAGCACTGTACTCGACAAAGCCCCCCCC